TAAAAACATTTTGTGAAATTTTTGTTTGCTATATTATTTACACTGGAATTGCACTGTGAAATATATATACACACACACACACTTTTTTTTTTTTTTTGCTGGGTCTGGGTTTGAACCCGCCACCTCCAACATATGGGGCCGGTACCCTACCCCTTTTGAACCATAGGCACCACCCATGAAATATTTTTTAATGTAGGCTATAGTCACAATTTGAAAGGGGTAGATCAACTGTACTTCAGAAGATCAAGACGCTTGGTGAAGGGAGGTGGCTCTGGAGAGTTAGAATTTTGACAAGTGGAAATGGGTGATGAGATGACAACAGAGAGTATTAAATGAAGGGAAGAGATATTTGGGACCCCACAGCTGGCAGGAGGCACAAGAGACAGTACTGCTCAGCAACAAGGGAGGATTAAGTCAGGGTACCCAAAAGATTTTGTGTGTGGGTGGATATGGAGGATTAAAACCTCTTGATTTTGAGCTATGTTAATAATTAATTGTATTCCCCAAGTAGATTACTGATAGCTTATCAGCTCTGTCCGTGCTTGTGGACTTTGGTAGCCCTACCTTTAGTCTGATTGCAAACAAGTGTGAAGCTGTGATAGGTCCTGTGGTGGGGTGTCTGGCCCTGTCCCCTCCCCACTGTGCAGTCTTCCTGACTGGTGCCTTATGCTCTGCCGAGCAGTATTGACACCTCGCCTGGAAAAGCAATGGGATTGCTTTTGGACTTTGGTTTTAAGAAGAGATTAAAACTCCCTTATTAACAGGCGCCATACCGTTTAGCACTCACTGTATGTTTGAAGCATGCTTATTTAACTTTATCTGAAGGTGGGCTTTTCATTGCTTCTCTGGTACATACTTCGAGGAAAGGTGTGGTACTACTGGACCAGTTCTGACAGCCCACTTCAGGTGGGATTAGAGTCTGAAATGGATGACATAATGTCTGCAAAATGCTGTTGTGTTTAATCAAAACAGAAACATAAAGGGTTATTACAAAGATGGGGGGACTCCAAGGGAAGTTCTGCAAGAGATATCATTACTTTGAAATTACTTGGAAAATAAATGAGAGGAATATCCCCCCGTTACCCACTGGAGCGTGGTAATTACAGAGTGAGAATAATTGAATTTTAGAAACACCCAGGGCCCAGCTACGCTCTTCAAAACGAAATAAAGAATCCAGGTTGCTTGGGCTGGGCAAGAGGCAAGCTGCTGGATTCTTCTTTTGTTTTTTTAGATAGAGTCTATGTTGCCCTAGGTACAGTGCTGTGGTGTCACAGCTCACAGGATCCTCAAACTCTTGGGCTCAAGTGTCCCCCTTGCCTCAGCCTCCTAAGCACCTGGGACTACAGGCGTCCTCCACAACGACTGGCTATTTTTTGTTGCAGTTGTCATCGTTGTTTTAGCTGGCCCAGGCCGGGTTTGAACCCACCACCCTCGGTGTGTATTGGCTGGCGCTGTAACCACTGTGCTAAAGGCGCCGAGCCAAGCTGCTGGATTCTTATTCCTACAGCCCCAAGGATGGCTCTCCTTCCCTCTTTGCACTGCCACCGTGGGGGTGCTTCCCCAAGACGTACATAGTGGGATGTTTCCCCCTTCCGGTGCAAATTCAAGAGACAGCTAGTGCGAGCTGGGTACCATCATTATGCTCAAAGAGGGCTCCAGGACTAATCAGGTGCAGTTCTGCTAGAAAACCCTTCCTTTCGGTCCCCCTAGACACAGGTGGCAGCTGGCTCAGCTGTAGAGGAAGTAGTCATGATGTCCAGCAGATTAGAACAATGGGAGTTTAACTGGTGGTTTATTTTCTCGAGAAATTTGCATTTCCCAGTTCTGATATCCATCTCTATAGACCTATCCCACAGAGGAAGAGACCCCCCAGGACACTCCTGACACAAAAATTAACATTTCCCCCAGCTTTGGATTAATAGGCTTGGCTCCTTAAGAGTCTGACGATTGGCTCGGCACCTATAGCTCAACGGGCTAAGGCGCCAGCCACGTACACCTAAGGTGGCGGGTTCGAATCCCCAGCCCGGACCTGCCAAACAACAATGACGGCTGCAACCAAAAAATAGCCGGGCGTTGTGGCAGGCGCCTGTGGTCCCAGCTACTTGGGAGGCGGAGGCAGGAGACTCGCTTGAGCCCAGGAGTTGGAGGTTGCTGTGAGCTGTAATGCCACAGCCCTCTACCCAGGGGGACAGCTTGAGGCTCCTGTCAAAAAAAAAAAAAAAAAAAAAAAAAAAAGAGTCTGACGATTGTGGGGAAGAGGTGCAACGTCTGCTTTGAAAAGTGAATAATACGGTTTATTTGGAACTGGAACAGAAAATTTTGGTTCTTTTGTGTATTGGGAATATGCAAAAGAAACATCGTCTACGGGTGCGTCCCTTTCCAGAGTACGTTTCTGAATTGGGGAGGAAAGAGCGTAGCTGTCCGGATTGATCAGAATTGGTAAAATACATATACTGTGCTTGTCAAGTGAGTAGCACTTAACTCCAGGAGCGGGCGGATGGAGTTCAGGTAGTGAGGAAAGCGTCTCAGGTACCCGGGCGGGCGGGGGGGGGGGTGTCTTAATGGGAGGTTCCCAGAGGAAGGAGGAGCCTGTGGGACCCCCGTAAGTCAAGAGTGGATTCGCAGAAGGGTCGGAGGATGAAGGCCAGCAAGCTAGGATCCAAGTCTGGGCTGGGAGGCGCAGAAAGGCGAGGGTTGGCTGGGTCCCCGGCGCACGCCGGCACATCACGCACGTCCCTGCTCTGTGTCCCCACGTGGCAGGCCCGGGGGAGGCCAGGGCGGGGCGGGGCCGGGGGCGGGGCCTGCCGTGACGCTCGCGGTATATAGTCGGGCATGCGCGCCGAGGCGGGGGCCGGACGCAGGGAGGGGGGCTCGGGCGCGCGGTGTCTGCGCGGACGCACCGACTGAGGCGCTCCAGGAGCTGCGGGCCGCCGGGGCCTTGTGGGTGAGGCTGCGCGGGCCGGCTGCCGTCCTCTGGAGCTCCAGGTGAGGGCAGACGGGACCGCGAGGTGCCACTGGCCGGCATCGGCGCCAAGAGGCAGCGCGCCTCCAGCCCGGGGGCTCCGGGTGGGGGTGGGGTCACCGGAGCGCCGAGGACCGGGAGCCGCTCTGGGCACCGCACACGGACTCGGCCGGCGGGGTGGAGGCGGCACCTGGCGACGGTGCCACGATGGCAGGGGAGGGAGGTCACCGCCTCAGCCTCTTCGGCTGAAGAACCTGGGATGTGTGAGCCAGAGAAGGTGCCGGGAACGTGGGTAGCCGCACTGAAAGGAGGAGGCAGGCTGCTTGGAGCCCGCGGTCACTGAGCTCGGAAGCTGCAGAGTAGATGGGCAAATCTGATGGGTAGCTCTTGGGACGGCTGATTTGGGCGCGGGTATCTGGACTTTGCTTTCCAGGAACTGAGTCCAAGTTCCCTGCCGTCCCTTACCTTTCCCCTTCCCAACTGAAGGCTGACCGGTAGCGGAGAATGGCAAAGAAAGCACTGAGCGGAAACTCCAACCTGGGTGACCCGGGAGGATGGGTTTTTGGCTATTTTTGGTCCTGACTGATGAAGTTAGGTGGTCTGGGTTCAGGCTGCCCCCTCTCGGTGGGCTAAGGCCATGGGACCAAGTAGCCATCCAGGCAGTTTCATCATGTGATCCTGAGGTCCAGTTAAGCCAGGAAATTTTTCTCAGCTCAGGATTGTGGGTTTAGTTTTGAGAATCTAGCGTTGGCCTGGGTTCCAAAAAGGGTGGCCGCTCCGAATAGTGACCTGGGTATATGAAAGGACTCTGGGCACAATTTGGTGAGTGGCTGAGTGCTCTCTTGTGGCCTAATGGAATGGTGGGGGCGGGAGCAGCTTCAGTCTGACTCTTCTTCCTGGAGCAGCTCTAGGTTTGGAATTGTGTCTTCGGTAGCTCTGCCCCAGGAGCCCCAGGCCATTGGGACAGGCGTGCTCCTGCTGGATGTGGTGATGCTGGGAGTTGACCCTGCCCTCTGTCCTTGCCCTTCTCCTAACCTGCTCTGTGACCTTGGGAGGGGTCAGGTCAGTGCCAAGGCCTGTACTCCTATTCACAGTATATACAATTCTGTAATCCTTGTCTCTTAAAACACAAGCCCTGAAAACTCAGAGGAACTTGCTTTTTTGATGAAACAAGAAATGTCCAGAATTATAACTTATATAGCAGTTGGAATTAAAAGCCACATGTTCTGTTTCCTGTTGGAGGTTCAGAGGTGAGCTTTTTCATCAGTTGTGTGGTCATCCGGAGATAGGTTAAAGTTGGTTTGACTGGAGGGCACCAGATAGTCCGGAGACCCTGAGTATTGCCTCTCCAGAGGGCTTTTTCCTGCTCAGCCTATCTTGTTACTTGCCTGTCCTCTGGGACCTTGGAGAGGGCAAAACTGAGGCGGAGATAAAAGCCAGGTGTCAACTGAGGGGCAGTGTCAGCCATCCAGTGCAGAGACTAGAAGTAGACTGACTTGAGTGGATGGGGGCAGGGGCAGCTGCATCACTGGCCTTGTCATTTAGTCAAAAAGAAGAGGATTATGGTCACTGAGAGGTACCAGAGCTCCGTGACTCTCAGCACATAAATACACAGTGCCTGGTCTGTGCTCTGCTCCATGCTCTGCTCTGCGGTGGCCACTGTGGTGGGTACAGCCAGCCTGGCTCCTGCCGTTCCAATGAACGCTCTTATTGGAGAGAAGAAACATCCATGGATAGAGAACAAGGTAGCAACCCTAGAGAGGTCTCATAGCTGTGTGCCATTAAGTTGAGAAAAGAGAGCACAGTGCTAGGGATAAGGTAGAGTGGTGGAAGGGATGCAGGCCAGTGTGGGTCTTGCTCAAATCCCAGCTACATCACTCTCCAGCAGTGAGAAATTTCTTAACCTCTGTGGGTCTGTTCTCATTGGCCTGGGAGATGTTGTGATTATGCCTGGAACATAGAGGAGGGCTTGTTCTCATCAACATCATCATCAACATCATTTTTGTGGGTTGAGTGGGTTATTTAGGGGTCCCAGACACTGCTAGTTAGGAATGGTATGAGCCCAGACATAGGGCTGATTCATCTCCTCCTAAGCAATGTGAATGCAATTTCCCTGCCCTTCTGGGTAGGCCACTTCTCTGGCCTGCAGGGGTTGTCCCAAAGGGCCATTGGGCAATGTTAGGCAAAAGAAAATTTTTTTCTTTTCCTGATTTCTTTAGAGAAATCCTTCTCTAGGGCTGATGATACCTGGCAGGGAGTAACAAGTAACAGTTCTTCTGAGTGTGTGTGCGTGCGCGCACACCTGTGTACATAGTACATATCAGTCACAAGACTGGTTCTGTTTTCAAACCATCCTACCTTTTTCCTTTTCCCTTACCTGCTTACACCCCACACTACTCTGGGAGGAACCTCAGTCCATGTCCCATACCTAAGAGTTGGGGGTCTGAGCTGTAATGCTTAGATGCTGTGCACCTGGGAATCCGTTTTCCCCACTGTGCCAGAATAACAGCCTGTTTACACTTGGCTCAAAGAAGGAATGGTCAGCCCTTTTACAGATCTGTAGAACTGGAGAATGTCAACTGGAGGAACTTTGGCAATCTCTGAGTCCAATTCCTTTGTTTTATAGTGAAAGTGGATCCAGAGAGGTGAGTAGTTGGTCTTTCCACATTACATGTCTGCTAGTGGCCACGACTTGATGGAGGATGGTGCCTGTGGCTCAGTGGGTAGGGCGCCGGCCCCATATACTGAGGGTGGCGGGTTCAAACCCAGCCCCAGCCAAACTGCAACAAAAAAATAGTTGGGTGTTGTGGCGGGTGCCTGTAGTCCCTGCTACTCGGGAGACTGAGGCAAAAGAATCACCTAAGCTCAGGAGTTGGAGGTTGCTGTGAGCAGTGTGACGCCACAGCACTCATGAAGTGAGACTGTCTCTACAAAAAAAAAAAAAAGAGAGAGACTTGATGGAGAAGACCAAAGTCAGGATGGTGAAATTTCTCCTGGTCATGGTCTTTTCCTTGGAAACTGGAAGGGACCAGTTGTCCCTGTGCTTGCTGAAGGGGAGGTAAAGGGGAAGTGTTAATTGCTTCTGTTGGCCTCTCCTACTTCTTTCTCTTTCCAGAGGCATGGAGGGTCCTGGATATTGCTCACTAGATGTCTACAGTGGCACTTCTCTGACCTCAAGGTTAGCAGCCTGTCAGAATGCCAGGAGATAAGGAGTCCAGAGTCCACTAACTCGGCTCCTGGCAGCCAGGGCCTCATGCCCTCCCTAGGGCCAACAGAGCAGCCTCACTGCAGGATCTCTAAGTGCCTTTCTCTGCCTCCTCCCCACCCTACCTATGGGCACCAAGCCTCCCAGAGGGGGTCCTGGCTGGGCCCAGGTGAGATTGTGAGTGACCTGCCCAAGGAAAGGAAGCCGGGCAGCCACAGAACCAGTCTTCTGAGGGAACCTGGTGTGCTCAGCTGCGGGAAATCAAATTCCCTATCTTGGCAACTTGAGATCTGACTGTTGTTATGCCTCTGAACCTTCTTCCTCTGGCAGCAGGCCGGGGAAAATCCTAGGGTTTGGTGGAATGAGAAATTGACTGTCCTAAATTTGTTACCATTAAGTCTCTCATGGCTCTCACTCAGTATTAGTAGTTAATAAATAATGGCAGTTAACATTGGGGAAACTGTAAAAAAAAAAAAATACATGTTAAAATTTATGTATTTTTATTCATCAAAACTTCAGGGCCAGGGCATTTTCTTTGAGTCTCTAGTTTCCCTAATTAAATTCACAAATTAATTTGCTTATAAGAATTACACCTCACTGTATCACCTGTGATTTCTTGTTTATTTTATTAAAATTTTCAGTGGGTTATATATTCATATAGTTCAAAAATCAAAACAAAAACTAGGATAAAACCCTTGCCTTCCTCTTTTATAAATGCTACAGGTAGTCTTTATTTTATTTATTTATTTATTTGGAGACAGAGTCTCAGTCTGCCCTGGGTACAGTGCTGTGGCATCATAGCTCACAGCAAGTTCAAATTCTTGGGCTGAAGAGATCCCCTTGCCTCAGCCTCCCTAATAGCTGGGGACTATAGGCACCTGCCACAACATGTAGATAGTTTTTCTATTTTTAGTAGAGGAGACTGGGTCTCATTCTCCCTCAGGGTGGTCTTCCTGGAACTCCTGAACTCCTATGCTCAAGCGATCCACCTACCTCAGCCTCTTAGAGCACGAGAATTGATTACAGACGTGAGCCACCACACCCAGCCCACAAGGCAGCATTTTAGACATTGTTCAGCACCGTTTTTCACCTAGCAACTATATCAGATCTTTTTATCTCCACACATAGAATGCTTTCAGTGTTCTTATTATAACTGCAATATTCCATAATATGGAATGTCCATCTTTTTTTTTTTTTTTTCAGATAGTCTCACTATGTTGCCCTCAGTAGAGTACTGTCGAGTCCAGCTCACAGCAGCCTCAAACTCTTGGGCTTAAGTGATTCTCTTGCCTCAGCCTCCCAAGTAGCTGGGACTAGAGGTGCCCACCACAATGCCTAGCTTTTTTTTTTTTTTTTGCTGCAGTTGTCATTGTTGTTTAGCTGGCCCAGGCCAGGCTAGAACCACCTAGTATGTGGCTGATGTCATAACCACTGTGCCGAGTCCCATCTTTTTTTTTTTTTTTTAACTAACATATATCGACTTCCTCACACATGTCACCTCCTTGGATTGGTTTCAGTATTTTGCTGTTATACACAATACTTGATGAATAACTACAACTACAGAATAAGTTCTGTGCAGTGTGACTGCTGGGTAAAAAGTTAGTTTATCTGTTAATTAGCTTTCATTTTAGAAAAAAGTAAATAAAGACATTTCCAGACCAATCTATGCTCAGAATCGTGCTCTTATGGATACACCTAATTTAATTATGGTATTTTTTTAATTGTATTTTTATTTGTAGCAGATCTTTCTAGATTAGTAATTCTCAAACTTTTCTCTTTTTTTGGAAACAGAGTCTCTCCCAGAGGCTCAGCTCAGCT